TAATAGAATAGAAATTGTTAAGGGGACTCTCTACCTATAAGCTTGGGAACTTCAACTTTTCACCCCTGGTTATAGTTTCTCTGTATAAAAGCTTACCCTGAGATGACTCGGGGCTACACACTGGGGTTCTAACACCCTTGTGCAGCTACTGGCCAGCAATGCCTTTCATTTGGCAAAACTTTGAGTGGTCTCTGGTGAAGCACCCTACAATACATGCTCATGCCAAGGAACAAGTGTGGAGGTCAAAGGACAGCCCCTGGCAATCAGGGGTCTCCTTCAAATGGTCAGGCTTACACAGCAAGCATTTTTACCCACTGAGCCATCTTACTGGCCTTAGAAATTGATTTAAAAATAAATTTTTGGCCAGGAGTGGTGGTGCACACCTTTAATCCCACATTCGAGAGGCAGAGGCAGGCAGATCTCTGTGAGATTAAGGCCAGCCTGGTCTACATAGCAAGTTCCAGACTAGCTGTGGCTGTAGATAGACCCTGTCTCAAAACAAAAACAAACAAACAAAAAACACTTTGATATTCATATAAGTTGACCATTTACTACAGACAAAAGCAAATTTGCATACTGAGATGCATAGTCTTGTTTTAGAACAAGAACAAGAATTAACTCTTGGCTGAACATTTGATGCTGCAGCATCTTCAGTGTTTTTCAGAGCTGACTTGACCTTATAATCACCAATGCTGAGAATGTATGTCCAGAGTCATTTCAGAAATTGGAAATTCTGTCCTAATCCTCAGACAAAATTAATTGAGTGTTTTTATGAAACTCGTCAGCAACCCAAACAGCAATTTTTAGAATCAAACATTATAATGCAATAAACTCTAAAGATAGACAAATTTGATACTTACATACTGAGGAATGGCAGCAAGAAAACATTAAAGTCCTTGTTTTCCATAATTAAACCACTATGTTTCTGTAAGAGCAGAAAATTTTGCCTGTTCAGTAAAGATGCTGCAATTCATAATGTGATGGTCTCAAGTCTGAACCAAGGTGCCTCGGGCACTGTTCATTGGAACAATGGCACATGCAGTGCAAAGTGCACAGGTTAGGTTCAGACTCAAGTCTACAAGGAAGCCATGTGATGCAGTGCAGGGGGCACTCCCAGAAACATCTTGGATTCATCCTGTTTCATTTTGAATTAATTTTTGGTCATTGTATATTCAGAAATCTTTACTGTTGCAACATTTTTATGGCCCTCCCTTTCCATTATGCAACCACAAATGGGGTCATAACCCACAGTTTAAGAAGCTGGGGTTTAAGCTTTGTATGCACAGGCCTGGAATCCTGCACTTGAGACAGAGAGGCAGGAAGGTCAGGAATATATCATCTTCTACACAGCAAGTTCAAGGCCAGCCTGGACTACATGAGACACTGTATTTAATTTTTTTTTAAAAAAAAGAAGGAAGCTGTGTGTAGATCATCTTGTCTTTTCAGAATAACCCTAACATTTATCACATTCACTGAACAGAGAAACTCTCCAACAAGGAACCGTTTCCTGAGTATTTGATAAAGACTGCTGGCATCTGTGCTTTAAGTGCACTGGAGAATCAGTCAAATGACAGAGGTATGACCAGTGGCCTCAGCAGTGATCTCCCTGGGTGTATCTATGGTCAACACAGGGACTTGTTCATTCCAATGGTCACTCATTTCTGTTCTTTCAGATGACCTCTGGTCTTGGCCCACCTTCAGCACCTACTTTCTTTGGGGGCAAAGTCACATAATTTTGTAACCACCTAACATGTATCAGTTTTAGCTATGCCTCATGAAGCTGCTTCCCAAGATGAAGTGGGCCTATCAAAAGCCAAAATCTAAAAAGAATGACTATAAACAAATGAGTTAAGATCCCTTGAAAGGAGGGTTGAGTTTTATAAGGAAAGCTGACATCTAACTTCTGTCAAATTCTGGGCCTACTCTTTTACCTTGTGAAGTAATTAGTAATGAGCACTGATTACTTCACAGGGTAAAATTTTGTTGTTTGATGGTCTTACACACAGGGTCTCATTTCTCTGACTTTCCTCAGATGTGGCTTGGAATTGTGGAAAGGGTTTGGAGCTCCTACAGGCTGTTTCCTTCCTGGCTCAGTAATTGCTGTCTGACATGAGACAAGTTACTGATCCTTCTTGAGCTTCAGTTTTTTTATTATTACTTATTTAATATATAAATATTAAATACGTGTGAGGGTTTTTTTTTTTTTGCCTGCACATGTAAGTGTACCATGTGTGTGCAATGCCAGAGGAGGTGATCCAGATTCCCCCCAGAACTGGAACTACAGATGACTGCTAGCTGCCATGTGGATGCTGGGGACTGAACCTGGGTCATCTGCAAGAACAGCCAGTGCTCTTAACCACTGAGCCGTCTCTCCAGCTCCCTCCCCCGTTTTTTAAAAATTATGATAGTGGTATAGCTACCTCAAAAAATTGTTATAGGGATTAAATGAGGTAAAATACAAGCAGAAGTGGGCTTAGACGAGGCCCAAGACAAATACCACAGTTCTGTGTTCTGAGAATTTGTCCTCTACTCTTTCTCTATATGTGGTTCTGTTTCTCTGGAGAGCGCCAGTTAATCTAGGTATTTTACTAAACAAAATGGTTTCTTCCTAGTATGAAGTCTGCTACCAATTTCTCTCTCACTGCTATGCATACATATATTTTCTTGAAATTTTTAGCGTTTTAAAGTTGGGGGGGTCTATGAATGTTTTTTCTTCCTTTTTCCAGATATTCTGCAATGCTGAGTTTATTTTTATAACAAAACCTTTAAAACTTTTTAGATTCTATAAACTTAACTTTTAATCTTAAATTTGAACTTCTATGTTATACTTTTATTTTTAAAAATTCACCTATGAATCGGAAGTAAATTCATAAATAACTAAACAGAACATCTTACCTTTGAAAGATAAGAAACCACAGATGCAGCACTTCAACCCAAGCAGCCTGGCTATGTTTCCCTCAGACCGCTTGTCCACAGTTTGCTAATTTCCCTCAGGCCTAGAAACATGGCTGAGGGATGGGGTACTGCTGCCAGTGCGGGATTTCCAAGCACTCAGACATGATCTGCAGACAGAAGTCGTGCCTCGAGCAAGCGTGATAAAGCATATCTACACTCTGTTGACTCACTCACATGGCTAGTGTGAGTGACCCATGGGTAGCAGCCACTCAGAATATTTCACACTATATGTGGCCACTCTGAGAAGCCCTTCAGATAAATACTTGTTTTTTCTCAAAAATATATCAGTGGGATATCAACTTATGGTCATACTGTACTGTCTTTTTCACATTTATGTTTATTTATGTGTATGTGCACATGTGTGCAGGGTCCAGAAAAGGATAACAGATCCCCTGAAGCTAGAGTTACTGGTGATTTTGAGGGGGCCTGATGTGAGTGCTAGGGACCAAACTCTGGTCCTATGAAAGATGAATAATCCTTTGGTGATCTATTTGTTATTTTAAGGACAGGACAAGAATCTGAGCAGCAATGGAAGAGTGTGTGAAACATCATGACATGGTTTGACTCTGAATTCCCTGAGGGATAAGATTGTATGTGCATTGGGGCTTGGAGCAGCCCATCCAGCTGAAGAGACAGTGACTTGATCCTCTGATTGCTGTACCCTCTTGACTAGGTTGTGATGAAGAAGTAGGGGTTGGGGAGCCCCTTCCCCAGCACTGGAGCCATCTCTCCAGCTCCATGCATACTTCTTAAATCAGGCTTTGCTTGCTGCATTTTCTTTAATCCTCCTAAGGACCCTATAAGATAGTTGCTGCTAATTTTTCTGCCTTACTGATGCCAAATGCATTAAAGGAAAAAGATGTAACTCGTTGACTTATGAGAAGGCTCCTAGGCAGGCAGGTGTGGTCCAAGAATGGGAAGAAGCCAAGGTTGCTGAAGAGAAGAGAAGCTGTCTTTCCTGACGCTGGAAGAGAAAGAGCCACACCATAGCGATTTTTCAGATCATAATATTTACATTAAGAAATGTTGCTGGGCATTGTGGTGCATGTCTTTAATCCCAACACTCAGGAGGCAGAGGCAGGCAGATCTCTGTGAGTTTGAGGCCAGCCTGGTCTACATAGCAAGTTCTAGGTTAGCTGGGGCTATGGTGAGACCCTGTCTCAAAAAGGACAAGAAACAAACAAAAACCTGGAAAAACAACTCTCCCCAACCCCCCCCCAAAAAAAACCCAAAGAAATATTAGTGTTGGGCTGGGGAGATAACTCAGTCAAGTGTTTGTGTTTGAAAACCATGTTAAAAAAAAAAAAAAAAAAAAAAAAAGCTGGGCCTGCTGGGTGTGGTGGCACATCCTTTAATCCCAGCACAGGGAAGCAGAGGCAGATAGATCTTTGTGAATTCCATGTCAGCCAGAGCTACAGTGAGACTCTGTCTCAAAACAAACAAACAAACAAACAAAAAACCGGTGGTGCTGAAGAGGCAGAAATAAGCAGATCCATGGGGCTTGCCTACTTGACGAGTTCCAGGACTGTCTGAAAAAATGTGGTGGCACACGTCTGTGATCCCAGCACTTGGAAGGCATAGGTAGGCAGATATCTCTGAGTTCAAAGCCAGCCTGGTCTACAGTGAGTTCCAGGCCAGCCCCACTACAGGGAGACCCTGTCTCAAAAAGACCAAAAAAGAAATGTAGCACCTGAGGCTGTCCACTGTCTTCTACTTGTACTTGCACATACACACAGAAAGAAGTGTTTGAAAGATCAATATTGAAAGAGAACGGACATAGTTATGTCTTAGGAAGATCATTCAGACTGTTGTGTGGTGATCAGATTAGTGGGAGGGAAGAGACAGACACCAGTTTGAAGGCTATAATAGTAATGCAGGCACATGACAGTGGTAGCCCAAACTGTGCTTTATATGTGGAAATGGAGCAAATGAAAGAGCTAAAGCGGGCTTCAGTGAGAATGAGGCCTTCAAAATAATTTAAAAGAGAGATTCAAGATTCAAGAAGCAGAGCTGGAGAGACAGCTAGCAGTCAAGAGCACTGGCTGGTGCTTGCTTCAGCAGCACGTATGCTAATACTGGAATGATACAGAGATTATTGTGGCCCCTGTGCAAGAATGACATGTGAATACATGAAGAATTCCGTATTTTTTTTTAAAAAAAAGCATTGGCAGCTCTTGCAAAGGTTCAGTTTCCAGCACACACACAATGGCTAACAACCATTCAAAACTCCAGTTCTAGGGTATATGGTTCCCTCTTCTGGCCTCAGTGGGCATTGCACACACAGGTGCACTTGCATGCAGGCAAAATACTGATACACATAAAATAAAATAAGGAGATTCTGTCCTGTGTGTCTGTTGTGAGGCACAGTATTCAGTTATCTCCATCCCACCTCTCTCATAGCAAAGTGAGAGCCTCCGCCTCATGGAAGATTCAGTGGACATGGACACGAGCCCTCTGAGGCCTCAGAACTATCTTTTCGGCTGTGAACTAAAGGCTGACAAAGATTATCACTTTAAGATGGGTAATGATGAAAATGAACACCAGCTATCATTAAGAACAGTGAGTTTAGGAGCTGGTAAAAAAGATGAGTTGCACATCACTGAGGCAGAGGCAACGAATTATGAAGGCAGTCCAATTAAAGTAACACTGGCAACTTTGAAAATGTCTGTACAACCAACAATTTCCCTAGGGGGATTTGAAATTACACCACCTGTTGTCTTAAGGGTGAGGCGTGGTCAAAGGCCTGTACATATTACTGAACAGCACTTAGTAGCTGTGGAAGAAGATGCAGAGTGAGAAGATGAAGAGGAGGAGGATGTAAAACTCTTAAAAGGTGGTTCTCTTCCCAAAGTGGAAGCCAAGTTCATTAATTATGTGAAGAATTGCTTCTGAATGACTGACCAGGAGGCTATTCAAGTCTCTGGCAGTGGAGGAAGTCTCTTTAAGAAAATAGTTCAAACCATTTGAAATATTCTGTCTTCATTTCTGTAACAGTTGATACCTGGTTGTTCTTTTTATAATGCAAAGTGAGAAAGAAAATAGTTCAAACCATTTGAAATATTCTGTCTTCATTTCTGTAACAGTTGATACCTGGTTGTTCTTTTTATAATGCAAAGTGAGAACTTTGATAAATGTCTTATTTTGTTTCTGTGACAGTTTGATATCTGGTTGTCCTTTTTATACTGCAAAGTGAGAACTTTGATAACATTTGATAAATGTTGTCCAGGTTTCTTTGCCAAGAATGTGTTGTCTAAAATGCCTGTTTAGTTTCTAAGGATGGAGCTCCACCCTTTCCTTGGTTTTAAGTATGAATGGAATGTTGTGATAGGCTGTAGTAACAGTGGTGGTCAGACACGGAAATGGTGGGGAGACAAAAAATATACGTGTGAAATAAACTCAGCATTTTAATAAAGTAAAAAAAAATCAAAACCCTTTTTTAAATTCAAGAAGCAACTATTTAAAACAAGCTAATTTCCAGTTATGTTTACATAGTCATTCTACAGGGACCTCAGCTGTAAATTAAAGTTCTCAATATTCGTTCCAATATGGGTTAAAATCATACTGTGGATATCTTCAACATTCTTTACTTCAGCCCATCACAAACTGCTTGAAAGGCCTGTGCCCTGACACCTGTCTGTTACCTTGGAGTGTTGAGAGGACGGCTCCCACATTCCATGACTCTGAGGTCAGGGCCCTGGTGAGGTCTCTTCAGGCACTCACGAAGTGCTAGGAAATGTAGAGTTTACAGAGTTCAGATGCACCACAGCCCCTCAGGTGAGTACTGAATGAGTCACTGGCTGAGAGAGTCTCTGGACAGTTTCTCTCTTGCCAAGATTATCTAAAGACAAAGGTGTAGATGTGTGTACAGAGACTATTTTAGCCTTTGGCTGAAGGATTGGGGGTGTGACTCAGTAGTAGTGTGCTTATCTAGCAGACATAAGGCCCTGGATTTGACCCTTAGCACTGAAAAATATAATAAATGAACTTCCCAGACCTTTTGCCAAATAGTGTGGAATGGTGGTGTGGAAAATGTGAAGTCCTGGATTGTTTTCCCTGCCAGTGGTTTTCTGGAATTACCAAATACAGAGAGAAGGAAGCAGGGAGGGCTCAGCCTTGGAGGAGGTAGCGATTAGCTAGCCTTTGCCTCAGCTACATGGGAGCAGCCTTGCTCCTGATTCTACGTGAGATGACCTTGGCACATCTTTTGCTCTTGGAAAAGACACATCAAGACCTTTCTGGGCTGGAGGGTGCTCCGTATCAGATGGAAGCTGGGTTTGCAGGGTGCATGCATGCTCTGCTGATGAGGTACTTGGTGGGATTGTTGGGTTCCCAAATTTTAATATTCTGTGTAAACTATTTCCATGGAAGGCAGAAAAATCAAGGTTAAAAAAAACGTCAGGCTTGCCTTGGGTTTCCTGGATGCCTGATTTCTGCACCTTATTAATATCTTTATGGGAGATATTCTCTGCCACCCTGTGGACATTTGAGGGGAACTGCAGCTTCTCAAACACCAGGCAGAAAAGAAAAAGTCCTGAAAGGGCTGAGAGCCTTAAATACCCGAAGTCCCCTGAAGTGAAGGGCAGCTTCTATCCTTGCCCAAAGAGGGTGTACAGAACAGGAAGAGGATGGCTAGTGCTCCTCTTCTCTGCTATTCCACCGTAGGTGAGGTCATCTAGGGAAGTGACACATTAGCGTTAGGAGCAGCTACACACTGCTCACGGAGACCCACATTTGCACTGTTTACGCCCTGCACTGGTTACTGCTCTAGAAGTCCCAGGCTTAGGGCAGGGCAGGAATGTTATTTCTCACAGCATGCCACTTCAGTTGTCTTAAGTAAATAAGAGATCTTGAAAGAGCTTGGGTTGGCTTTGCACATAATTTTGTAAGTGCCTATGCAACCAGCTTGTAGATTATCTGAGAATACATATGGTAGGCTGCACTGTGTGGTAGGAAAAACATAAGATCAGTGTCTCATAGCTCTGGCTTTCAATCATCTCCCCATCACATACCAGTATGTGACCTTGGGCGCTTGGCTACAGTAGTTGTCTTCTCATCTATAGAGTTAATATGACCTGCCTCGTGGAAAGCATTGAGGACTAAATGATAGTCCAGGGCCTGACTCACAGCCAGCTCTCATAGCTTATCCATGTGTATAACCAACATGCTCAGGGGTCCTCTGGACCATCTGTAAACATCCAGTCTACAAAGAGTGGACATATGTGCAATGAGAATTATTTCCTCCATTTCAGTTTCCTTTCCTGTACTTCTTGACAGTGTGATATGTACACCTGTAATCCAGCAGAGGAAACAGAGGCAGAAGAATTTTATAGGCAGGGAAACTGAAGTACATTGAAGTGGACTACCTAATCCACCCACAGAGGGGAAACAGGGCCAAAGTCAGGATGGAGGTACGGCAATCTTAGCAGTATTCTGCTTTTGTATGGCCCACATCATCAGGCACGATGCCTGGACTTATAAAAACAGCTTAGTAAATGCCCGCTGAGTGAATAGCAGGATTTGTTGCCAAATGGCATTTGGAAGTGGGTCAAATGTCCTGCAGGGCTCTGAAAGGCCAGCTATATAGAACAGCAACTAGTGAATGATCAAGTTAAAACTCCTTGTCATCAGGCCAGTAGCCTGCTGGCCAAGCCAGCTGTGTGCAAGGGTGGACATGATCAACTTTGATTCTTTTATTTCAGGTAACCCACCTTCCAAAGAGGTGCCTGTTGGGAAGTACCCCTTCATAGTCACCTCTGATGATGGACAGAAGGTTCCTGTGGTTCAGGCCTATGCTTTTGGCAAATACCTAGGCTATCTGAAAGTCGAATTTGATGACCAAGGAAACGTCATCACTTCACATGGAAATCCCATTCTTCTGAACAGCAGCATTCTGGAAGGTGTGTGGAATTTGACAAACAGTTCTACCAACTCATTTGGTGGCTAGATCTTCCTCTCTGCCCCCCACCTCTCTCTCCTTACTTAGGTGGCTATTCTTCTTTTTTCCCTCTCTCTCTCTTTTTATTGTTTTAGAAAATAACTATAATAACTTTTGAAGAATTTAACTTTTCCCTTGTGTTTACCCTCTTTGTACATAAGGAAAATTTAAACTTCTAGTTCCCAAATCTTCATTTGCTTTTCCAAGCCTGCTCTGTGAACCACTGCTCCTTCTGCCTTTCAAAAGCTTAACCCTGCAGGTGAAAGTCACTGTTAGTTCCTGTCCAGAGGGGAGAAAAAAAAAAAAAGCAATTCAAATTGGGTAGAACAGGGCACAAATCCTAGCCCTGCCTACCAGAGGCAATGGCAGTGCGGTGTGGGCAAAGTGCCCATTGCAATGGGCCTCAACTTCTTCATCCATCAGACTTTTTTCTTCTTTTTTGTTCTGAGACAAAGTCTCAGTATATAGTCCTAGCTGACATTTAACTCCAGATCCTCCTGCCTCAGCCTCACAAATGTTGGGATTATAATGTACAACACCAAGTCTGTCAATAATTACCTTTTGGGAGCTGGAGAGGGGGCTCAGCAGTTAAGAGTGTATGCTTGTCCTAGTTTGTTTCTTCACTGCTGTGACAAAACACTCTGATCAATACCAATTTGGGGAGGAAAGAGTTTATTTGTCTTACATCTCCTGGTCACAGTTCATCAGGGAGCCCAAGGTAGGAACTCAGGGCAGGAACCTGGAGGCAGGAACTGGAGCACAGGCCATGGAGAAACTGTTTACTGGCTTGCTCCTCTGGCCCCTGCTCAACCTGCTTTCTTATACAACATAGGCCCACCTGCCCAAGGATGGCACACACCTAGTGGGCTGGGCCCTCCCACATCACTCATCAAGAAGATGCCCCACAGACATGGCTGCAGACCAGTCCAAAGGAGGCAGTTCACCAATTGAAGCTCCCTCAACCCAGGTGTGTCAAGTTGACACTAACACTATTCAGCACAGTGCTGCTCTTGAAGAGAACCCAAGTTCAGTTCCCAGCATCCATCTCTGGTACATAGCCACCTGTAATTTTAGCTCAGGGTATCTGTCACTTCTGGCTTCTGAGGGCACCTGCACTCATGTACACATAAATATCATTTTAAAATCCTTTTTTTTGTTGTTGTTGTTTTGTTTTTGGTCTTTTGAGGCAGGGTTTCCCTCCTGTAGCCCCAGCTGGCCTGGAACTCGCTATGTAAACCAGGCTCACCTCGATCTCACGGGGATGCACCTGCCTCTTCCTCCAGAGTGGGATTAAAGGTGTGCACTACCACACCTGGCTCTTGGTTTTGTTTTGTTTTTTTTAAGTGTCTTTTCTTTGGAGACTCAGAATAAAAAAAAAAAAAAGTATTATTTTCCGTAATTCATTTGACATGGTATTCATTTGATACAGTATTCATGAACATGCTGCTTTGTCTCTTTCTCACCAGCCCTTTTCTGTTTACATGATTAGATCAGGATGGCTAGTGAGTCCCATCACACCAAGGAGAGTCTGTGGTCACAACACGGGCTTCCCGGTAGCTAGAGAAGGAGCAAGCCTGGAACCACATGCCTCAGCAAGCCCTTTATACTTGCCCTGAGCCTTTCAGAACTAGCCAGTGTCATGCCAGGTGGGCTGATAGGTGCTCACCCAGATGTGGTGAGTGAATGTTGAAATGCTCAACACATCCTCACATTAAAATACACCCCAGGTTGCCCAGTGTGGTGGCGCACACCTTTGATCCCAGCAATCCAGAGGCAGAGGCAGGCAGATCTCAGAGTTCAAGACCAGCCTGGTCTACATAGTGAGCTCCAGGCTGGCTGGGGCTACAGAGAGACCCTGTCTCAAACTTAATAATCACCCAGGTATTAATGCCAGGCCTAAGGAATTTCATAATCAAAAGTAAAATGCACAAGTGTGGCAGAGAAATGCATCCTCCCAGCAGTTAAGCCACGTGAGGCTTGATTCCTCCTCCAGAACTGACTCTCAGGAGACCTGCTTTCACTGCCAGCTCTCTCTCCCCCCACCTTCCTAATGTCTTTCCTTTTCTTCTAGATCCCAGCATCAAGGCAGATATTAATCAATGGAGGATCAAATTAGATAATTATTCCACTCAGGAACTAGGGAGAACAATTGTCTACCTGGATGGGTCCACTCAATCATGCCGCTTTAGAGAATGCAACATGGGCAACTTGATTTGTGATGCTATGGTGAGTCCTCGGCACGGGTGGAGGGCCTGCCTCTAGGGAGAAGGAACGGAGAGAGAGAGAAGGAAGATGCAACAAGAACAGGTCTGCAGATTTTGACATATTTAGTGCCCAGACAAAAGCTTGGCTGATTTCAAACTGAATGCTTTGACAAAGTGGCTGAATGAGATCAGGAGATCATCACTCTGCTGCTTTACAAGAACCAAAAGCTTTTTAAAGCTGTCCTTGGATGTCTGAATTTTAGATGTTTCTTTCTGTAAGATGATCTGAACACACAAACTGCCCTCCCTGAAATGTCAGCATAGTAGATGAAACACATCTGCTTGGGCCTAACTTGGCCAGGCTGGTTTTCCCAAATCTGTACTCTTGACTCCAGAGAACATGGGCCTCCTGTAACTTGAACCTCTTTCCCTAGCACAGAATGACAACACAAAGTTATGGTAGTCTCTGGCAAGACCAAGATCATTCACAAAGAGTACTTTTCTAGGGCCAACTGGCAAAAGTGGCTTTCTGGGGCTGTGCCAAACCAAGGTCTCCAGGCCAGACTCCCACTCCTACAGGCTCCCAGCCCACTCAACAAAGTTTGTCCATACTAGGTATCCAGCCAGTGTCCCTTTCTGCTATACAACCTCACTCCATAAACTCTGGCCAAGTAGTGAATGACAGCATGCATGCCTTTTGAGACGAGGCCAGGCTGGCTCCTCTGCACCATGCAATCAGTATGAGAGAAGCAATCAAACAGAAACATCTAGAGAAAAGTCTAGAAAAAAAACCCAGTCTGCTAACTAGGACTTACCTTTCTGTTAAAGATGCTAGGAAAATATAAAAGAACTTTCACTTTGTGTGTGTGTGTGTGTGTGTGTGTGTGTGTGTGTATGTAAGTTAGAAAGTATACACTTTTGCTTCTTGTAACTGAACATACATTTTATAAAAGAACTGGGGCTGGAGAGATGGCTCAGCGGTTAAGAGCACTATTGCAGAGGACCCAGGTTCGATTCCCAGCACCCACATGGTGGCTAACAACTGTCTGTAACTCTAGTTCCAGGGGATATGACACTGTCTTCTGACCTCCTGAGCACTGCACGACATGGATGCACTTACATACAGGCAATACATTCATACAAAAAATAATAAAAATATTTTTAAAAGTAAGAATGAGCCTGATTCTCCCTAGTTTAAGGTGGCTCTCCCTGTGCCTCCAAGATCACCAACTTGGGAAGTGTCTGGCCATGAGATAGGTAATTGGGTGGCTTAAGAATGCTGTTGCCCTAGAGGAGTAACATCACAGGCCAGTCCACACTGGAGCCATCTTGACAACAGAGCTGTAGCTGGAGAAAATACTTTTCTAAGGCCCTAACCTGAGGGACGAGTTTGAGGAGGGAGTGAAGAACTCCCTGTTTCTAAGAGTCTGACATGGCACCCATCACAATATACTTTCGCTTCTGATTGACTGAAGATATGTAAACTAATAGATGATAAGCTAATTGCTTTGTGGCTAAGACTGTATATTAGTTGTAGCTGGGCATGGTGGCACACAGCTTTGATCCCAGCACTCAGGAGGCAGAGGCAGTGGATCTCTGTGAGTTCAAGGCCAGCCTGGTCTACATAGCGGTTGTAATCACAGTGAGGAATCTCTGGGAAAACGGGAACAGGGAAGAACAGTTTCAGGCTCTCAGTTGAGATAACCAGATTCCTGGAAGTGATCCTAAGAAAAAGGATCCAGAATAAGTAATGTTAATTTGTGCTACCATTGTAGATTAACAACAACCTCAGACACCCAGATGAAATGTTCTGGAACCATGTGTCCATGTGCATTTTAAATGGAGGTGGCATCCGATCGCCCATTGAGGAGAAGAACAATGGTATGCACCCCAAGTTCAGCTTTCTTAGCTATCACGCTGTCTCTGCTCTGCTTTCCCGCTGGGGTTACTGCTTTAACCATACCCACAAGCAGCCTCTGCTGCCAGTCATGTACCTTTGAGTTTGTGTTAGCTGTTACTCAAATCCAGTGCTTCAACTAAAGGACAAATATGCATTCTCATGTATTCATACACTGATGCAGCAGTAAAGTTAGTAAAAATCCAAGCTGGGTCTAAAGTTCTAACTTGCAAAGCTAACTATTAATTGTTGCTGATTTATGCAAAATATCAAGCCTGTACCTTGTCATCTAAAAAGAAAACAACACATCACTCTTCTGTGCTGGAAAAGACATTTCAAAGATGCATTTACGGATACCCAAGGCTCTATTATACATTAAAATAAATCCACCAGACAGCTATTTAAGGCTGTCTTGCAGCTCCCTTGGACACACTGTCAAATCCCATTAATACAAGGTCCCAATCTCACTTCAAACAACAGGACAGGTGGTTAGAACACCCTGCCTGAGGAAGAACTGAGCAATGTCCAACAGCCTACTAAAGCTCCAGCCCAAGCCAGGAGATCCAAGGCTGAGTGGCATGGACTTGGTCTTTAATAAGCTCTCATCCACTTACCCAGTGGTGGAGAAGAGGACAGAGGCTCTCAGTCTACTCCCTCCCAAAGTCAGACATAGCTAATGCTGTTGTGAGCCCCCCCTCCAGCCCCTTCCTTCAGCCAGAGTGAGCTGGTCTCTGGGTAAGCATTTCCTCATTCTTCTTGTCTCTCTGGGTCTACTTCAGGCACAGTCACCTGGGAGAACCTGGCTGCTGTGTTGCCCTTCGGAGGCACTTTTGACCTGGTCCAGTTAAAGGGCTCCACTCTGAAGAAGGCTTTTGAGCATAGTGTACATCGGTATGGCCAGTCCACAGGGGAGTTCCTGCAGGTGGGCGGTAAGTGGTGCATCCTTAAGGACCAGCTCCCAGCTTAATGTGGGCTTTCCTGTTGGTTGGCTCAGCTCCCCACTCACTTCTGTGGCTAGGCTTGTTTGAGGTTTTTTGTTTTTTGTTTTTTTTTCCTCACCCAATACCAACTCTCAGAGTGAATGAAGCTAGGTTGGGGTCAAAGCCCCAAACCCGTGGCAACAAGAAGTATTTGCCAAACTGGATTTGGACACCAGAAAGACCTCCATGGCTAGGAACCGTCCTTAACTCCACTTCCAGGGGAATCTGGATGCCCTCTTCTGACTTCAGAAGCATTGCATGACAAGGTGCACTCACATACATGCTGGCAATATGCTCATACACATAAAAATAAAAATATTTTTTAAAAGGCCTCCATGGAAGCTGGCTCTCTAAACACTAGGAAGATCAGCTGATATAAGGCATATGCATGTAATGTTTTCGTTTGTTTTTTGTTGTTGTTGTTTTTGGTCTCCTTGTAGTTCCAGCTGGCCTGGAACTCACAGAGATCCACCTGCCTCTGCCTCCCAAATGCTGGGACTAAAGGCATGTGCCACCACGCCATGCTGGGACTAAAGGCATGTGCCACCACGCCAGGTGCTTTTAATGTTCTTTACAAAAAACAAAACAAAACAAAAAACTCTCCATTGTTAATTCCCTGGGATCATGTGATCATGTTAAGTTTGAAAGGAATGTGGGTAGAGCTAAGGATGGTACTGATGCACTGAATGCTTGATTCCTGCTGGGAGGAGGGCAAGCTCTGAACCCAGATCTGACCAGCTTTCTCCTGGTCTGCAGTGAAGACTGAATGGAAATAAGTGCTCCTCGTATTACTAAGGATTTCTTCATTTTGGGGGTGAGGAGATGCTGGATATCAAGGACATGCTAGGCAAAAGGCCAACTGCTTTTATCTTATGGGGTGTGTGTGTGTGTTGCTGGGGATTGAACCTAGGGCCTCATGCATGCTAGGAAAGTGCTTTTTACCTGAACTATGTCCCCAGCCCTAAGGGATTCTAATTCTAATAACTAATTCTACAATCCAATGAGTTAATCCTTAAAAATCGTATTTTACTCCCAAACCATATTCTGATCTCATTTTCCCACTTTACTTCATTTCTTCATCTTGCTTTGCATCAGTCTCGTGTCACTCTGCCTCCATCTCCTGAGTGCTGAGATTACAGGTGTGTCTGACTGTGTCCAGCTTCATTTTTCTTTTTTCTGACAGTGTCTCACTATGTAGTCCAGACTAGACTCATGCTAGGTAGCTCAGGTTGACCTTGAACTTGTGACCTTCCTAATGCTCAGCTCCTAATGCTGAGATGCCAGGCATGTGTCTCACACTCAGCTTCATCTTCATTTTCATACGTGGACCTGCTTGATGGGTGCTGATGCCTGGAAGGAGGCCTTGGCCTGGTGTCTGTGGGGTAACCTTGACATCTCGGAGAGCCGCCTAGTGTTCAGATACTCTAGCAAAGTGCTGAGTACCAGTAATCTCTGTGAAAATCACTGAATCTCAAAACACTATTATTTTAACCTTCAAAATTGTTACAAATGCTCCATTGCATTTCCAAATGCTGCGTTTCTCATCTTCCAAACCCAATGACTCATTCCTGGACTAAAATGAGCTCAGGACTGTAAAGAGGGAAAATGGTACAGTTTTGTCCCGCAAGTCACCCTTGCCATTCTAAGAGCCAGTTCTAATAGGTGGTCTCACATACACTGAAGGGACTAGGGAAGAAGTCAACTAAGAAAAAGTAGCTGCAATGTCACCTCCATTTTCCTATGAAATTCTACCCAAGCTCAAGCTAAAGGAGAACAATCCTAGTATCTCAATTCCAGATCTTGGTCAAAATCCCTTTCACAGGCAACAGAAATCCCTTTGGACTTAGTAAAAACACAAACTCATTTTCTTCTAGGAATCCATGTGGTATATGATCTTTCCCGCAAACCTTGGGACAGAGTGGTCCAATTAGATGTTCTTTGCACTAAGTGTCGAGTACCCAGTTATGAGCCTCTCAGAATGGATGAAGTGTATAAAGTGGCCCTCCCAAGCTACCTGGCCAGTGGTGGAGATGGATTCCAAATGATAAAAGATGAATTATTAAAACATGACTCTGGTAAGCACGACTGTCTCTGCCTTTCCCTATCCCAAAGGTACTCAGGAACAGAAGAGGAGGGGAAGCAGAAACAGACCTTATGCCTCTGTTACAACTCCTTCCTGATCTGCAGGATGAAAACCAGGTGCACAACACTGAGGAATGTTACACTGTCCCTCCCCCAGCACACATTCACATCCATCCACCCCAGGGAAAATACACTTTCAAATAAAACACTCTACAGCTCTCTTTTAACTAATCTAAACAGCTATTCAAACTTATTCAAATGAGAGTAAGTTTTGCACTTATAGAAGAATAACATCTTTGGCACTTTAGCTTCAACATGGAAAATGCTCATGTTAAATATCTAAATTTTCTTGAAGAATATTTTGGTGTGAGTATTAAGAGTAGATGGTTAAGTGTCCTTTCAGCACTGGACTGGTGAAGCAACACACATGCACAATGTCAGTTGGTATTTCTTGCAGCACTGAGTTTTGCCGTTTACCAGCCTTGCTTTGGGAAATCCAGTTAGTTGCCTTGTGTGTAGAACTTCTACCAAAAGAGCACACTTCCCTTCCTCTTCCTAGGGCCCCAAGTGGCATGCTCACAAAACATACAGTACCTCTATACCTCTGAACAACTCAACCAAGTTCCTCCTCAGCCTCACCAGGGCAGGCCTTTGGAGGAGGGTGGAGGGCAAAGCCAGGTCAATGAAGCAGCCCTTCTTAGAAAGAATGGAGGTCACCTCTGTCCATTCCATGACAGAACCAAGTCTCACCTCCCAGTTCAGTCCCTACAGAGAGCTGAAGCCATGGATCTGAGTTCTTAACTCTGGCTGTGTTAGAATCTCTAAAGGAGCATAGTAAATTAAATACCAATGCCCTGGCCCTGGATCTTAAGAAAGTCAATGTAACTAGGATGAGACCAAGATCACATCTAGTTATTCTAATGTGTACCCAGGGTGAGCATGAACATCAATAAAAACTTTGTTGGGGCTTCATGGCTTTGTTACAGCTCTATGATCTTCATCTCTCTTCTTTTGGAAATGAAACCTCCACTGTCTCATCAATTATGTGAATGTAATTTTGAGCAAACTGAATGAGAAAGCCACTTTTATTTCTCAACCAACTCTTGGCCCAGGTCCCCAATGTCCTTGGCCTGGCAAGGACTAAGCTGGGATGTCCTCCCTTGGACATCTTAGTGCTCAGACAACTGTACTCCTCCCAATCACCCAATGCTGAACAGACACATTTCACATCTGGAACATGAAAAAAGCAATCAGATTCCTTGTACTTAACATTACCATCATTTTTGTCTTCTGTGATGCTTTATCCCTGAAATAAAAAGAAAAAATTTTTAATTACAAGGGCTTTAGACAAAGACTTTATTTCCCCTCTAACTGTTGATAATTTTTCTAGAGTTAAAATAATATATGTGTTTTTCAGGTGACCAAGATATCAGCGTGGTTTCTCAGTACATCTTAAAAATGAAAGTAATTTACCCAGCAGTTGAAGGTCGGATCAAGTTTTCTGCAGGAAGTCATTACCAAGGAAGCGTTCCTTTAATAATCCTTTCATTTTTGGCAGTGATCCTTATTTTGTACCAATAGCAGAAAAATCTCCTTGCTACTGATGTGAAACTCCATTTTTCTTCCAGTGATACTCAGATCTGCCTTTTGGGACCTGGCTTTGTGATGGTGCTAACCATCCTCAAGGCTCCTAGAAGCCAATGCACAGAGTGCTGTGCAAGGAAGAGACTACCCTCATCTCCTAGAGCCAGCATCTTAGGGACCAGATAGAAAACCAAATTTAACAGAGAGGGTCCTTTGAAAGGAAAGTCAACTAGCTGTAGTTTACATATTCAAATTGTGACAAATTTTATCAACTTTGAACCACAAAATTATTTTTTTCTATCTATTTCTAATCCATCAAACAACTTACATTTTCATAAAACCTTATCACTGACAGGCATGGTAGCACATACCTGTAGTTATAGCACTTGGCGGGCAGAGGCAGAATGGCTGCAAGTTTGAGATCAGTCAGCTAGACAGTGAGATTCTTACAACAAACAACAAAAACCCTATCATTTACAAGGAGATTTTGGTAGGTAAGACAAGTGTTGTTTCCACATTTGACAAATAAGGACACAAGTTCAGAAAGGGTTGGCTTGCCCAAGGTCATACAGCCAAAAATGTCATATAAGACATGTACCATGTCCTTTAACCTCTAGTCCAATACTCTCTACTATATAAAGTCGTCTCTCTTCCTGCCAACGGCCACAAGCTCATGGATGACACATCTCTGGTTTATTTCTGCTCTACATATTTTCCTTTTGGACTCCTGTTTAAGATCAAGTTTAAGAGAATAAGCACAGGACAGTATTCTGCCTCACATCACTATGTGCCTTTGATGAGTAAGTGGACAAACTGAAGCAAATAAGAAAGTCCAGGGGCTACAAAAGATAGTCAAGGGGCAGGGAAAAAGGGAAAGGAAGACATGAACAGGACTTGTTTACATTCCATAAGAACAAGTGTGAATGGGCATTTAGATAGTTACACATCGTTTGCTAAGGAGAAGAGCACAGTGCAAATGCAGAGCATTGGTTCTCATTAATGCTATGAGCCCATAAGTGCTGCCTCTGTGTTCTCCTTCCTTCTTCCTCACATAAAGGTGCCACAAGAGAACTTTCTAAAATAAACCGTAATCTTAAACTTGCACCTGTCCTCCCAAGATGCTAACAGAGCACTTACTCTAGTCATACCACGCACATTATGGAAAACCCAGAGTTCTGGAAGCAAGAGGGATTTTAAGAAGTGGTGTATATAAATCTTTGGTCACTGAGCTCAAAACTCAAGCAACCACTGTAAGGCATGCTCAAGTCCAGCTATAAGCATACCAGCAGGTAGTGAACCCCTGAGGGAGTGCCCAAGAAATAGATTGCTAAAATAACTTATGCCAGTAGAACAAACACTTGATTAAGATGGTCAGGGACAAGATAACCATGGTCAGCACTGCCTCAATAATCAACAAGAAATGGGAGCCTTCCCCTTAATAATCAGATCAAACAGCAGCTAGAGGCTTGAAGAGGGAACATGTTTACTTCCTAGTGTTTACAAATACTAAGTACTCTTGACACAAAACATTTCAAACTTCATAACCATTTTATAAGGTTGCAGGAGAATGTCTTTAGTTCGATGCATATACAGATTAGCTATGAACAAAAAACGTCAATAAGAATGTATTAAAAAAAGAGAAACAATGCAATTAGGGTATATTTTTATGCTTGGCCAGTAAACTAGGAGAAATCTTATTAGAACATAATTTTTAAAAGAAAATTTTTGTGGGAGGCTATGGGAGGGTGTTTCTGGGAAGTGGGTGTAAAATAAATAAATTAAAAATATATATCTGTACATATCTGAGACATTAGCCAAATCTAATGGGGGCAATTTAAGATGGACTACAGTACATGCTCGTGTGGGAGAATAGGAAGCCTCTCTGTGTGGGGAAGTTATGACATGACCTACTCAGTGCTCATTGCTAATGACTACCAGGTCTTTGTCCCTGACACTGTTGGGTTGTGGTCGAGATAAGAATTCTGAAGCCAGCTTGCTTCCACCATTTACCAACCGAATTATTTACTTCTCCGAACCTCTGTGTCTCCATCTGAAGATAGGGAGAGATTAGAGTCCATCTACTGCAGAGATAATTAAGTGGAATAATGCGTGGGTTGGCACCTACTGATGCAGAATACTCTAAGACAGTGCCTGTCCTGTCCTTAAGCAAGGCACAGCCTAGCAGGAGAGACTGACACATGAGCCTCTGGGTGCCATTCACTGGGCTGAGTCTTTGCTCAAGACATTCTAGAGTAGGGACTGGCAAACTACAGCCACTAGGCAAGTCAACCCACTACCTGTTTTTGTAAATAAAGTTTTATTGGCAAAAAAAGAGAAAGTTTTTGTAATTTTTGAGTGTGTGTGTGTTGCTGTGGTAATGAGAAATAACCTAAGACACTACTTTGTAACTGTAAATTCCAAACAATAAAATGGAAGATGTCCTTGGTCTTTGGTGGTCATTTCTTCTCTCAAACACTTGTAGTCCAAGATAATATGCTAAGACAATTTTTCACCTGGATAATTTCTCTTGATAGTAAATGCTTTGCCATTTGATAGCCCTTTCTCTTCTCTCACTTGAAAAATTAAAAAGAAAAATACATGCAATTTTTAAGTAGAAAAATAATTTTTAAATGGAAGATTATTAAGGGGCTGGAGAAATGACTCGGCAGTTAAGAGCACCGGCTGCCCTTGTAGAACACCTGGGTTCAGTTCCCAGAATGCACATGGCAACTCACAACCATTCATAACTAGAGTTCCAGGTATCAAACATCCTCTTCTGGCCTTCGTGGGTACCACATGCACATAGTGCACTTACATACATGTAATGAAACATACATATAAAACTGAAAAATAACTATTTTAAAGGAAGACTGTTAACTCTCAACTTTTCTTCATCTAACCCTGCCTTATTCTTCACTGAAAATCTATGTACCTCTAAGGTAAAACCTGCCCAGGTAGGCCAGAAAAGGGTATCAGATCCCCTGGAACTGGAGTTGCAGGTGGTTGTGAGCCCTCATGTGGGTGCTAGGAACCAAACATGGGTCCTCTACAACAGCCAGTTCTTGCTGAGCCCTAATAAAAGATTTTTAAAAGTATTAGTAACTGAGCTGTAAAGGTGGCTCAATGATTAAGAGCACTGGCTGCTCTTGCAGAAGACCTGAGTTCAAATCCCATCACCCACATGGCATCTAACAACCACCTGTAACTCCAGTTCCAGGGGATCTGACACCTTCTTCTGTCACTGCATGACATGGGAGCATTTACATGCAGGCATAACACTCATACACATAAATCAATCAAAAAGTATTGGTAACCATAAAATTAACATGAATACACATAATTTGTGAAAGACCATTAGTCTGAGTGTCTTCAACTTTAATCAACATAGAAATGGAAAATATAATCATGAGTATTTCGTACAATTCAGAAAAAATCCAATGCTTGTGAGTGGGGGTTTGCGTATACATGAGTGGGCAAGTACACAAGTAGAGGCCACAGGGGGACGCTGAGTGCCTTCCTCTATTGCTTTCCACCTTATTAGAGATAAGGTCTCTCATTGGACTAGAAGTTCACTATTTTAGATACACTGGCTACTAAGAGCTCCCAGAACCTCTGTGCCCACCCCCATCAAATACTGAGGTTACAGGCATGTGCAGCCATGACTGGATTTTTCTTTTACATGGAGGCTATGGATTGAAACTCAGGTCATCATGCCTGCAGAACAAACACTCTTATCCACTGTGCCTGCTCCAGCCCGTCCATGCTTTTGTCATTCCATTCTCCACCCCTCTGGTACCCAGTTCAACTGGTCTCCCTACGTTTATTTATGTCAGTATCTACAGTTGCATGTCTTACTTACCTTCCCTGCAATAATTCGACTAGTTTAATACATACACACACACACACACACACACACACACACCACAAATTAATATCAGTCTTTGTTTTGTAACTTAAATTTTTGTTTCAATTTTTTTTTCTGACCTTTAATGTACTCCTTGGGGGATGGGGAATGCTTCTCATAGGTACTTTTTGCAGTAAGCTTTATTGTCCAAATTTTCTTCTTAACCTAAATCATACTTTAGAAATGTTTTATTTCAACTAACAGAAATTGTGTTTATAATGTATAACATGTTTTGAAATACACACTGTGGAATGGCTGAATCAAGTGGCCACCAACACCTCTGTACTAATTGTTCAGTGGCTACACTTCGACAAGAGTCCTTCTCCCTCTCCTGTCACCCTCTCTGGTGTGCCCTTGTTTACTTGTTACCTCTTTATTCACTTGCTTTATTTTGGCAGCAGCTACACAAAGTGAGAGATCACCACAGGCCACATTCCTGTCTCCTGATACCTTCATGCCCATTCTACCTCAGCAACCTCTTCCTTTAACAAACCTTGTGTCCACCACATCTTTTGTGCGGTGCTGCTGGGCTATGAACAGAGCACAAGGATGAGTAAGACACATCTCTATGCTTGGACTGTTCACAGCCACGAGGAAGACAGAAAACAACATTAAGTCTAAAAAACAAATTCAAGCTTCTGTGTGTCTGGCCATTACCCCTTCTTGCTCCTAGGAAGAATACCCACTCTTTGGGAAACACTGTGCCTCTCCTAGTCCATGTAGTGTGATAGGACAACTAACTGCAATCCTCTAGCCACAAAAAAGCATCTGACCTACCTTTGGCAACTATAGTGTTCTAATCGATTCGTCTTGGTTCAAATTATTGGCTCAGGAATAAGCATATGACCCAAGCTAAGATAGTAAAAGGCCCAAAGTGAGCATTTACATGTGTGCAAGAGACAAGCTTTTTCTTCTCCTCTGTATAGTGGTTCCATAGTTTTTTAAACTGTCTTCCCCTACATTAAGGTACTTAATGACTACACCCAACAAGATAGAAGCTGAAGCAAAAAATGAGGCATAGAAACCCAAGGTGATTTGAGAGCTGGAAAACTCCTACTGGTCAACTCCAGCACTACCTCTGTAGTTGGATTAGATGAAGAGATACTTTGCCCTCTGTCTTTCAGAAAGATCAAGTTTGGCCACTTGACCCAAGAACTTAAACTAGCTCAAACTAGGAAAGCATGTCAAAAATCTTCCCTGAACACATCTGAGGTAGAGTTAGGAGGGGAATCAAACAAGAAAGAGTTCAGACATTAGGTAAAACCTCTCAAAGCTCTTAGGTAAAATTACTCATTTTTTTTCCCTCATACTAGTAAAATAAATTATCTAAATTGGTCACACAACACTTAAGATTACATTTCCTTACAAATGGAATTTCAGTGTCACTCATTTTTTTCAGATTTGTGCTGCTTTTGGAAAATTAAATATTGCCAAGTACAGTAGCACATGCCTACTAATCTGAGCATTTAGGAGGCTGAAGCAGGAGGATCATGAATTCAAGGCCAGTCTTGGGTTATGTAACAAGCCCTGGTCTAGCCTGAACTACATCATGAACTTCTGTATCAAAAAAAAAAAACATGCAATGTCCAAATAAAGTACCTTGGCTGCCTCCTCCCCATTGGTGAGCTGCTGGAACTTACCTATGTCCAGGCCAGTGCTCCTCAGGGCTTCTCTGCAGTTCTCCAGGTAAGTCCACCATCCCCCCATGCTAGCTCACCATCTCTCCATGCTGCACGTTTTCTCCATTTTGCATTGTGTTAAAAACACAGATCAATTACCCCATTCCCTCTCAAGAGTACCAATACAAAGCTGTAGGAGTAAATCAAAGCTCTGATGGTGGGCAAAAAGAGTTACAACAAAAGTGAAGACTGAAAACTCACTCTAGATGTCCATGTTCCTAAAAAGCATTGGTCAAACCCATACACATGTCCCTACCGGGTTCCTTCTCAGTCTGAAACACTGGAGAGCCCCCAGGCACAGTTCTTGGACCATTTCTTTTTGTTCACTTACCCTCTTGGTGGTCTTACCTAGCTTCATTACATCTGTATGCTGGTGATGCTCATACTTTGACCCATTTGGATCATTCTCCTGAATGTCAGTTATAACGGCATCTGCCTATGTGATATATCAAGTTGGGATATTTAATTGGTAGCTAAAATGTTATATGCCCTAAAATGAATTCATGATCTTCCCTTTAAAAGGTATCTTGATCCTAATCTCATTTAGGTGGCCCTTCAGCCTTCCTATTTTCAGGCCAAATCTTGCAGCCATCCCTAGGCTGCTCCCTTTTCCTCAAACTTAGAACTCACTTATTGGTCAGTCCTGTCACCAAACTACAAAAGAGTAACTAGACCGCGAGTGTTCCACAAATACCACCCTGGTCCAAGTCTGTCATCTCAACTGAAAGACCTCAACAGAGAGTGCCTTGTCTCTCTCTTCTTGCTTCACTTTGTATGTCCTTGAGGCCAGATCGGGACTACCAAGACATCCAGCCTCGTGGACTGAGCGACTACGGGTTCTCAGCCTCTCCAGTGTGGTGCAGCCGTTGTTGGACTACTCAGACTCTATCCTGTGAGCTAAGCTGATAAATATATATATATTCATTCTACCAGTTCTGTTTCTTTGGAGAACCCTGACTAATACGCTGCTCCACTTAGAACACAGCCAGGGTATCGGAATGGTCTGCTTCCTCACCTCCTTCAGGTCTCTTCTTCAGTGCTCCAGACCAATCGATTTGGAACTACAACCCCTCTTGCATATCACTCATTTCTTTCCTTGGCTTATATTTTTTCTTAGTAGTTACTGCTTTCTAAAGTACTATACTAGGACCAGAGAGATGGCTCAGCAGTTAACAGCACTGGCTGCTCTTACAGATGCCCCAGGTTTGATTTCCTAGCACCCACACAGTGGCTAACACCATTCGAAACTCCAGTTCCAGGAGATCCAATCCCCTCTTCTGGTCTCTACAGGCATTGCATGTACGTGGTATACTTATATACATGCAAACAAAACATGAGTACACAAAAATAAAAATACATTTTTAAATAAAGTATTATACTATTCTTTATCATGTTCCCTCAGTTTAAATACTGACTTATAATAAATGCACAAATGTGTCCTTAGAATTTAAAACTACTTAGTACATAGTAGGTGCTCAATAAAAATTGAATAAATGACACATAATACCTTCTCTCATAATTCTCTGCATCCTCTCAGCTCTAAAGTCTGTCTCTTTATCATTATCCTCTTCAGAGAAAATAAAATAACTTCTCTGTCTAAATAAAGCATCCCTTTTATTTCATTATGCTGATCTACATAGGGAGTTCCAAGCCAGCCAGGGCTACATGGTTAAGACCCTATCCCAAAAAGAACAAAAAAAAAGGAGGAAGAGGAGGAGGAGGAGGAAGGAGAAAGAGGGAAAGGAGGAAGTAAAGGAGGAGGAGGAGCAGTGTGTTAAGTCTTGTAATGCTTTGGAAGCCTGATGTAATTAACTTTTATAAGTTATGCTGACATTGAAAACACTGTCTTTCCTACAGATGTTGAA